TAACTGATTATTTTTTCTGAGAGCTACTCAGATGTCTGAATGGGATGAAAATCTGCGCCTTCCATTAAAAAAAAATCAGAGTTTTTGATTTTTTAGTAAATTTTTATTTTACTGTTCATCAAGATCAGATGAACTCAGGTTCAATATCTGTTATTTTTGTCTATATTTATGCTGAGCCGGATCACATACACAGGCATGCCAAAATCCATGGACATACCAAACACGCCCAAAGTTAGCAATTGAGCGAATCTTGCCAGGCCGTGTCACCGCAAAACTATTTAACAGCTCCCTGCACTTTTTTTTGAAACGGAGGCAAAAAATTTGCCGCATTCATTAATTAAGGAGAAGTTGAGCAGAAATGTTACATGGACCGTGAAAAAAAACAAAAAAAATAGTGTACAGAAGACCACTACTCTCCCGGCATAATGTGATCCAAATATTTCGCACCCGCGATGGCCCATAGCTTCGCCTCTCTTTGAATGGTGGGAATAATGATAAAAGGAGGGGAGGATTCGTTTCTGAAGACCCTTGCATTCTGCTCGTCTCAAATGGTCTTACATGAATTCTTCTTCTGGCTCCTTCTGCATGACAGGGTAAACACCAGAAATTTACTTAAAAATAAATCTTTCACACTAGAAAGTTACACATGTGTTTTCTGCCATGAAGACATGGAAGAAACGGCACGACATCTTTTTCGGAACTGTGGATTCTCTCAAGACCGCTGGCACAGTATACTTCCCAGAAAAAAAACTTGGAATTCCATTCTTAGATGATATCCTCCTGACAAGAGCTGAATTACCGAGCCGCATTGCAATGGAAATCATAGTACAAGGGTGTTGGGCCATATGGGGGCAAAGAAATGGGAAAATTTTCAGAAAAGAAGTTCCGAATGTAAACAGTTGGAAATTCAAATTAAGAGAGGACCTCAAACTTCTTGAGCACAGAATCAAAGCAAAGTACTTGGAGGCTTTGCAAGGATGGATCAGTGATCGTCTAGGATGAACTCTACACAATACATATTTTTGCTCGGTCATGTTAGAAAAGGCTGGAATAGGATAACTGCTCCTCTTGTTTTGGTTATCTTTACTTTTAGTTTTTTGTATATATGCACCACATTTGATTTTATTAATGTAAAATACCGCAGAACAAATAGTTCTACGGTTTGGGCCTCAAAAATAAAAATGGTCTTGCACACAAACATAATGAGGGAAGGCATCGCCCTTCGGTGAATTATTTGGGTGGACACCATGTCAAACCACCAAAATTTGACGCTCCTGTATGTTGCCCAAACTGAGAGATCCAACAGCTCCCTGCACTTCGCTTCCTATCTATTGGCTGCGAGCGATAGTAAAGACAGCACATACTGTATAATATACCACTACTCTCTTCCCGTCTCCTCGTGAAAGCAGAAGCAATGGTGGTCGTGGGAGGCTGGGAGTACGAGAGGTTCCCGACGCGATGAAACGATAGAGAGAAGAAAGAAAAGGGCATCCACCAGGGTAGCGTGGGAAGGAGTAAACAAGGGGTTGCAGCATAGGAAAAGACCACTCCACCACACGGCCCCCTTGTGAAATCCAACTCATGCTCCGCCGGGTCGTGTTGCTGTGTCTGTGCTGTTGCGCCTCTCGCGCCGCTCCGAGATTCTCCTTCCGCGCTGCCGTTTGGGATCGGCGGGGCAACGGCCGCGCGCAGGCACGTGTAACAAAACAGCCGTGCACCAGCCGATTCTTGGCACCTGCCGCGTCCACTCTCTCTCACGATTTAGCGTTTTATTCCAGCTCGATGCACAGGCCGGCGATGCTAGGCTGTGAGGCCAACTCCAACGCACGACCCCAAATGAACGTTCGTTTAGTCCGGATTCTGTTCGTTTGGATAGGGCAATGTGGTCGTGTCCGGATCTGTCCTGGGATGCTGTGGCCGTGCGTCCAACGCGCGGACGCATCTTTTGGCCCTATCTTGTCCGCCATGGCCAAAAATGCTCATATATTCATATTTCACTGTTCAAAACTAGTTTGCACGTCCAAATATTAATTGTCTGAAAATAAAAATAGTTTTACAATTCAATCGAAATTGTCTCTAATAAAATAATTTTACAACCAAATCGAAATTGTCTTGAATGAACATAATGAACCAATACATCTATTGGTTGCGAATGTGAATCCACATGTGCTCAACCAAACCATTTTGAAGATCCAAATGAGTGTGTCAATCACGCAGTTCACGATAAAATTGGGCAAACTGTTCAAACATGGCCGGTTCTTGGTGCTGGGGCTCAACAGTTTCACCTTAAAATCAAATCCTTGGTCGAAGATGTTGTTATCACGCTCGTCCTCGATGATCATGTTGTGCATGATCACACAAGCAGTCATCACCTCCCAAAACTTTCCTTCATCCCATGTCAGTGCAGGGTTTCAAACGATACCCCATCGGAATTGAAGCACACCAAAAGCACGTTCCACATCCTTTCTAGCACTCTCTTGCATTTGGGCAAATCTCTTTCTCTTCTCACTTTGGGGGTTCGAGATTGTCTTCACGAAAGTTGATCTCTGAGGATATATATCATCAGCCACCAAAAGATTTTCGTCATCCGAGGACGAATTGTCTGATGAATAAATGAAGTGGTGGAAGAAAAATTCATCTTCACTGTCCATACCTTTGTGGCAAAGTGTCAAACACCTTGCGGTCGTGGTGGCAAAGAGGCCGCGATGATCACCTAGATGAAGCAGGGGGGGTTGGCGACCGGCTAATGGCCGCTCTGGAGCACCCGACGGAAGCTGCCGTGGTCCATATCCGTTGCCGCGGTCGTATCCCCTCTGGCACCGGCTACGACGGCGACGACCAAATCTCCTCCAAGTGACGGCCAAAACTCGTACGAAAGC